TCTTTTTACTATCAGTGAAAAGCTGAAGGAATTTCCACTCATTAACATATTATGACATTGATACTCTTTGATTTATATTTCAAAACTGTATTTAATTTCTGTCAACCAAATGTAGACTTCAAAGTTGAGATGTCTCTACAAATAAGCTTCCTACTGAAAGTAATCATCCCACTTCTTTAATTATAAAGATCAGATGGAAATTCACACATGTTATCACAGTAAGCTTTGCAAATATACAAGTATTAATGCACATGTACTTCTTGATCCATTACTTAGCTCAGCACCATTGATTTCACATGTCTGGGGTCACAGTCTGAACATGATACCAGTAAAATTGTCTGAAACACTCCATATGAGGTGTCATAACTCTGGGATGCCCACTCACATCATTAATTTTCAAATTATTTATTTCATATAAAAAGAATACTAACAGTTTCCAAAATGCACATTATACTTTCAAATGCACTAATTTTTTATTAAATATCTCTGACAAATTCTATAGTTAAATTTTTATTAAATAAATATCATTTTCCATAGGAGAGTGACATTGCACTTAAATATTGTCATATTTTTTAAAATATCTCTTTAAATTATTTCAATACACAGAAGTTGGAAGATATTAGCTGTTTGTAAATTTTCATTGATGATCCAGATAAGAAGCAATGGGAATAAAAACTCTTCAGAGAAAATTTAGAACAGAAACTGGCAATCTATCAGGAAACAAATTATCAACCACATGTAAGTCTCAAAATTTAGGGTCACTAGGCAATAAAAATAGGGACATCAAATTTTATCAAATGAGTTGGAGTGATGCATTCAACAAGTGACCTGATTAAATTCACAGACCATTTTGATTTCAAATTTTATTTTTTAAATATCTAGGTACAGATTAAAAAATTGCACTTTGAGATTGGTGTTTATTTCTTCTTGTTTTTTAAGAAATGGTTTGGATATCATCAGGTAAATGTTGTTGGGGTCTTTTAGAGAAAATTACAGTTTGACAAAAAAGGCATGGGAGTTCCATCATATTTGAATGTGCTGTCCGTCTATGCAACCACACCTTCAAACATGTTAATGAGTTGTTTCCCTGTGTTGCCTTAGCACTTAAGTGAGGTTGATACAAGTAGAATAGGAAATTTTGTTTCATGCAGACATTTTTGCTTAACATTTAATGCATAGGTAATTTAATTCAAGATATCCTTCCATAGAAAATATACTGAATGTCCTGTGTTGTAAACATTTATAAGTTTCAGTGATTTATTTTGAGCTGACATCAGAAATTCAACACATAAATTTATGAGGAACATGGGCTGTGAATATAAGGCTTGAAAATTTCAGTAATTTTGGAGAAGAGAAATAGTGTCCTCATTAGCCTGAGTTCTCCTGCTAAGCTAGCCAAACCTTTTCCCAGCAAGGGCTTTCAACCCTGACTACATATCAGACTCACTTAGAATTTTAAGATACCCAAGGCCTACTCCAAAGGCTTCAAATCAGAGAAATTCCACAAAAATCTATTGAGGTCATTCCTTAGCATCACTTTTTTTTTTTTTCATTTTTTTTCCATTTATTTTTATTAGTTGGAGGCTAATTACTTTACATCATTACAGTAGTTTTTGTCATACATTGAAATGAATTAGCCATGGATTTACATGTATTCCCCATCCCGGTCCCCCCTCCCACCTCCCTCTCCACCCGATCCCTCTGGGTCTTCCCAGTGCACCAGGCCCGAGCACTTGTCTCATGCACCCAACCTGGGCTGGTGATCAGTTTCACCCTAGATAATATACATGTTTCAATGCTGTTCTCTTGAAAGATCCCACCCTCGCCTTCTCCCAGAGTCCACAAGTCTGTTCTATACATCTGAGTCTCTTTTTCTGTTTTGCATATAGGGTTATCGTTACCATCTTTCTAAATTCCATATATATGTGTTAGTATACTGTAATGGTCTTCATCTTTCTGGCTTACTTCGCTCTGTATAATCGGCTCCAGTTTCATCCATCTCATTAGAGCTGATTCAAATGAATTCTTTTTAATGGCTGAGTAATATTCCATGGTGTATATGTACCACAGCTTCCTCATCCATTCATCTGCTGATGGGCATCTGGGTTGCTTCCATGTCCTGGCTATTATAAACAGTGCTGCGATGAACATTGGGGTGCACGTGTCTCTTTCAGATCTGGTTTCCTTGGTGTGTATGCCCAGAAGTGGGATTGCTGGGTCATATGGCAGATCTATTTCCAGCTTTTTAAGAAATCTCCACACTGTTTTCCATAGTGGCTGTACTAATTTGCATTCCCACCAACAGTGTAAGAGGGTTCCCTTTTCTCCACACCCTCTCCAGCATTTATTCTTGGCATCACTTTTAGTTAAGGGCCTCAGCTTTAACCAGCATGGCTAACCATTCACCTGAGCAGTGAACTGAAGTGACAGCCTCCTCTACCATCTTTCTTCATCCAGAGCAGGGGACGATTGTGGTCTTCAAGGGACAGTTGGCAAAGTCTGAAAAGATTCTTGGTTGCCAGAGTTTCAGGATATGGTTGACATCTGGAGGGGAGCAGGCAATAATGTGGCTGAACATTCACAGTTACAGTCCAAGGACATTACAGTCCAACTAAGAAAGAATTGACTTGGACCCAAACATCAATAGGATGAAGGCTGAAAAACCCTGAGGCAGAGTCACTAGTTTCTCATGACCTGGGTGACTGCAGACCAAGTCAATTTATCTATAATCATTTTTAAAATATCTGCTGTTTATCTTCTCATTCTAAAAACTCTAAGAAACAATTAGAGAATTGTCCCTTCCCTTTTGACTTTAATTTGCTGTTTCTACTGCTCTTTATCTTTCCTGGTGAAGGCAGCTCTCTTGTCCTTTTCCTATTTGCCCATTTCTGTCCCCTCTAAACTTAAAAACCTAACTATAGGAATGAGATCACCAAACAATTGAAACAAACTGATTTAGGCTTCCTGAATGCACACCACTCCTTGTTTAGCTTGCCTATTCTTTTTCTGGATTAAAAGAGGTTAGAGTGAAGAAGTAGGCAGTTAAAGAATGGCTTTATCTCCAACACTACTGTCCTCTTGGCAATCCTGCAGGCAGACCACTCGGACAAGGTAACATCTGCAGAGAGAGTCAGCCTACAACCATGGGGGAAGATGCAGAACCCAACCTCCTGCCTCCGTGACTCACTGAGAGTCTCCCTCACTTTTCTCTTGAAAACCTATCCCGATTGAGCAGAATCTTCAGCTTCTCAGGACTCAAGTCAAATTCTCCCCCAGATTGCTGGCTTTTCTGATTAAAGGACATTTCCTTTCCATTCACACTTGCCTCTCAAATTATTGGTTTTTGAACAGCGAGCATCCAAACCTGAGTTCTTTAACAAGGAGACCAGCCAGTTTGAAAATGGATGATAAGACAAAGGGCTCAGGCAAATCCTTCTCTTCCTCCCTCCCTTCCCTTCTTTCTTCATTTTCTTTCTTCCTTAGTTATTTTTGCATGTTTAACCATTACTTACTTGCTTGTGTGAATGCTAAGTTGTTTCAGTGTTCGACTCTGTGCAACCCTATGAAAACTAAACTCTCCAGGACATGGGATTTCCCAGGCAAAAATACTGGAGTGGTTTGCCATGCCTTCTTCCAGGGGATCTTATCCATCCAGAAATTGAACCCTTTTCTCTTAGGTCTCCTACATTGGTGGGCGAGTTCTTTATCACTCGCACCATCTGGGAAGCCCGTTACTTATATGTTGCCAAAGCAATTGCATTATTAGGTTAAATAATAAGTACAATTGAAAAAGAGAAACCAATCAAACTGAGCAGCCATTATTAAGAGCTGAATTCAGACTATGTTATTGATTTTCTGCTCCATACTTCCCTCTCTGTGATTTCGTACAGGTAGCCAAAGAAAGCACATACTTTCACAGGAAGGCACATTTTAGCACTTCTATAAAAAGTCTAATTATGAAAAAAGTACAAAATTTTTTACATCATAAGCTTGTTGAAAAACAGATAAATTATAAGTTGCCATTGTGAGTCCTTTTGAGGTAGGAGATGACAGAAGTTGGTTAGACATGAAATAATTGTACCTTGAAAGTGAGGTCAGGGGTTAGAGAAATTTAGATGCTGTTTGGTTGGTGGAAAATAATTGTCTCAGTGAACAGGGTAGGGAAGAGCAGAAAAGCTGAAAGTATAACTTTGGTTAGGGGACCATTTTTATATTAAAAAGTGAACATCAAAAAAATAAAATAAAATAAAAAGTGAACATCAAATCTATACACAAAGAATAAAATTCTAATCAAAAGTTGTACAAGTATTTGATGTTTTAGTCAGCACTCAACATTTTAGGTAGCATTCAAGCCATATGAATGCATTTCCTCCATCATCAGATATTTTATTACAGGGAAGAAAAGAGTGGGTTTAAATTATCCAGATATTTATTTTACCCCTATTATATTAATGTTGTATTCCTAAAGCCTCAATGGTATTTTGCTTGTTTAAGATAACATGACTGCAGTTTCCTTTAGTAAAGGGCACGTAGACTTGACTTCCAGTTATTAAATAAAAATTCTAGTAACCCAGGGTCTCAGAGCTTCCATGAGGACACAGTTGGACGTGACTAGCCATGTCCAGGGCTAGTGCTGGGATTGCCGGGCACTCAGCTGTCTGTAGGCTCACACTCCATCAGGGGTCAAATGTTAACTGGTCCAAATCTGTGTTGCTCATATGCTTAGGCAGAAACTTTTTCTTAAAGATCTCTATTTCTATAATAATTGCCCCATTCCTAGGACTGTTCTTTTGCTTTGGGTTTCTGGTTTGAACTTTTTGCTGAGGCTGCAGACCTGTCCTGATCCCCAATCCCCAAACAACTCTTGTCAGTACCTGGGTGGGAAAGCTCCCCTGGAGAAGGAAATGGCAACCCACTCCATTACTCTTGCCTGGGGAATTCCATGAACAGAAGAGCACATGGGTCACAAAGTCAGACATGACTGAGCGACTGAGCACACACCCATGATGTTCTCTGAAGGGGCCAGTGGAGAAGATTGAGCTATCTGCCGTGAATGACAGTGGTGGATTGAAGTGCTCCAAGTGAGACAGTGAGTGAAAACACAACATAGAAAAAAGAAGGGAGGTGGGAGGGGGGACTGGGATGGGGAATACATGTAAATCCATGGCTAATTCATATCAATGTATAACAAAAACTACTGTAATGATGTAAAGTAATTAGCCTCCAACTAATAAAAATTAAAAAAAANTAAAATCTTAAAAAAATAAAAAAAAAAAAAAATTTACAAAAAAAAAAAAAAAAGAAAAAAGAAAAATAAAAGAAAATTGGTAAAGTTGTCCCTGAATCTTGACCCCAAACCGTCTTCTAGATCATAAGAGAACAAGGCAGCTTTCATCATTTTGATCCTGCATATAAAAAACAGACACGAAATATTCACAGTGATGCAAGCTGGCTTTGAAATCAGCAAGTCCTGGCTGACACCAGCCACCAAATTGGCACATTCATTGGAAATGATGTTCAAAGCAGCTCACAGGAGGAATGGGAAAAACAGCTTTGGCTTCTCTGATAGAATACAGAGCAGCGTTTCCTTTGGAATCCACATTCATGCTTGACATTCTAAGCATGGATGGAGATATGCAGAAAGATGAAAGTGTCCTACATTCAAATTTATTTAATGTATTTATTTTTAGAAGCCGATTGATCTAATAACAAGTCTACTTACTTCAGATTTTAAAATAGCCAGTGGACTGTCCCATTTCACTCTGTGATTACTTCTGGAGAGAGACTCAAAGCTAAATTAAATCCATGCACTTTATGGTCTGGGGATGGCTCACTAATAAAATGCTGATAGAATAGATATGGACCAAAAGGAAGAAGAGGCTGGGTTTTGGCTCAGGGCCTCTCCCAGGGGCTTTTCACTCTCTCCAGCGGTAACAATCCTGATGGGCAGAGACACCTGCAACATGGAACAATTAAATAACACGTGGGCCTTAGAACAGTGAAATTATGGAGATCCTCCCCATTTCTAGCCACGCTCAAAGAAATATATATTTAAAGATGAGAATTTCACAGACTTCCTTGGTGGTCCAGTGGTTAAAATTCTGCATTCCCAATGCAGGAGGTCTGGTTCAATCCCTGGTCAGGGAACTGGATCACACATGCCATAACCAAATAAGAAAACAAAAATGAGAATTCCAGGTTAAAATTATGGGAAGATAAATATCAGGGGAAGAAAAGTGAGGCAGTTGAGACCTCTGATTATTGATTGAGTAATAGGATCAGTTTGATGCTGGAGGAGATTACTTAGTTTCCACCTTCTGTGTTTTATCAGAGGCATTAGCTACTGGGGGAGCTATCTCTTTCTTCATTTTCTAGAGTGCATGTTTTTACATTTCTGGGTTTTTTGATTCCTCAGCGTCTTTGTTCACAGTACCTCCAAATTCCTTATGTACGTTGTAGCCAGTGTTAGAAAGAGAATACCCTATACTTTATTGTAATCATTGAACTGTAATTAATAGGAAAATTAAGTGATTAGAAATTAGAAACTATGCTTATGTGGAAACATGCATAATATTAAAAACCCTATTATATAATATCATATTTGTACTACTTGTTTTTTTAATAAAAGTAGTCTATTCATCTTGGGTTCCTTTCATTTAACAACGTCATTTACCAGTTAATCTCTTGCACAATATTATTTGTACTGAATATGTTTGGTAAACAATCTTTAAATAGCCATTTGGTGTCAGATTTTTGTGGGTAGATCATAAGAGTTGTAATTATTTGCCCCAACATATCTACGTGAATACACATTAGGATCAGGAACCTGTGTAAACATGATGAAGTCCAAGGGAAATCACATGGAAAAAATGATAGACCACAAATACCAGGTGGGAAAAATTTGCTTCTGTGCAAATATTTTATGACAAATTTAGAAATGGTCACACTCGCCCACAGGTAAGTGTGAATCTTCAGAATGGGACTGCAGCTAATAGAACAAGTCTGACACAATGACACATCAACAAAAAAATATAGACCTCTCACCCTTTCTGATAAACCTACAGTCACCAGAAGTAATGAGTTCCACTCTGTGGGCAAAGGAAATGTGACATAATCAGTATTCTAGAATTTCAAGGTCAATTTCTGTTTTATAGAAAGTTCTGAATGTTAACCTCTATAGCTAAAAATAAGAATTATACAAATAGTTGAATGAAAGTAAACATTATATTAATACCTAAGTCATCTTAAAACCCATGTACTAAATCTTTGTCTGACTTTGTTGTTGAAGTGGATTTATGCCTATAAATTGAAGTTTGATGAAAGAAAGAACAGAGCTTAAAGGGTGCACTTTTAGTTTGATTTAAAATATAACAAGGAACTGTTAAGTAAACATAATAAGAAAATACTTGCCTCTTTCAAGATTCACTGCATATTCTCTTTTTATTTATTCTGAGTCTATTTTTAATTCTTTAATAAAGTTTAATATTTTTCTTCATCAACATCTTCTTCATTATATTCTGTATAATTCTTCTTATGGAAATAGCATCTTATTTCTATTTTTTGCATGATTATTGCTTTTATGAGGGTATGTTGCCAACTTGCATACATTATTCAAGTATTTAGAAACTTGACCAAAGTCTCTTATTGCTTTGTTAGCTTGTCTATTGACTCTGTGGTTAATAAATTTAGTTCTTATTCCTCATTTCCATTTTTATTTTTTTTCCCAGGACCTCTATTCCTGTATTTATCAGAAAGAGACTTTATATCTACAAGAAACAGAATATTGAACTTAGAGACTCATTGCGTTTAAGAATAGGAACAGGCAAAGATCTCCATGACTATGTGTATTTTTTGTATTTGAATAACTCTTCATACTTATTAACTCAAACTTAATAATTGCATATTTCAATCTTCTATTTCTATCTCAATTACATTAATGGCTATTGGTGGTCTATTTCTTCTTAGACATCAATTTTTACACTTTGTATATTTTTCTGATATGTATATATTCATTTTTTTCAATTGTTTAGCTAATAAATTTTAAATTTCAAAATTACATTTGTAAATAGTTCAACTTCTCATAGATTAATATGTTCATCTCATATTTTGTAGGGATACATTTTAATGTCTTCCTTTTACAAAATTTTGTTTTCAGTAGTTATAAGACAGATCCACTACTAAATTACAACTGATGATAAGTAGCAAAGAAAGAAGAGATTTACCTCCATGGCAAAGCATTTTTGTAACAATAACTTCAGCAAAATTTGAAGTATATTTACTATAGCTGTGTATATTTTAAAATGTTTGCAAATGTTAGCAACTAACATATTTAGATTGATAAAATACTGAAGTTGGTATAGTCAAACCTGTAAGTCACATGTATCGCTACCAATTCCAAGTACATTTCTATCTCAGTGCTTCCTTAATTCAGCACAATACTGTTTGTCAGGATGCTGTGCTCCTAGAAATTAGTTTTCTTATTATCACTGCAAATAAACATTTAATATTTAATGTTGAATCTCTAACTCAGCATACCATTCATATTTTCAAAGCTCTGATTTCATAGCTTGGTTCGCAACATCCAGCATTTATTGGAATTAACTTTCTCTATTTTAATCATCATATGGTAATAATATAAACTTGGCATCTTTTAAATTTTTGAAATTCTTCTGTTAATGGAGCCAACTCATTGCTCACTCTCCCTTTACTTTTTATAAATGCATAAAGAAAACTTGGAATAAAATATGAGCAGAGTTTAGAAGAGCCCCATATTTTAAGTAAAACGTCACATTTATAGGATGATATGTGTATGTGAATGCAGATGTGTCACCTTCCATCAAGTATTAGTGAAAGTGTGAAAGTGAAACTGTCAGTCGCTTCAGTCAAGTATGACTCTTTGTGATCCCATGGACTGTAGTGCACCAGGCTCCTCTGTCCGTGGAATTCTCCAGGCAAGAATACTGGAGTGTGTTTCTATTCCCTTCTCCAGGGGATCGTCCCGACCCAGGGATCAAAACTGGGTCTGCAGCATTGTGGACAGACCCTTTACCATCTGAGTCATTAGGGAAAGCCAAGTTTTGTAGAGCTGAAGCTTTTTCAGCAATATTTTGTCTTTGGTATTTTCTGTGGTCCAGGACATGATCCTGATGATGGATATTAAATATCAACAAATGTTTTTCAGGCTACTTCCTTGCAGGAAGTTAGGACTGCATATTGAATTCACAATTTTTTCTTCTTATGCTTGCAATTTTGCTTTTGAGCTCATGACTGTAAACATGCTTATTCTACTGGAATTTCTCTATTGGACATACAGAATGAACACAGGATGGAGACAGGAGGACCAAACAGACACATTCTAAACAGAGTAAGTCTTCCTAGAGGAAATCTAGCCTCCTTGTGATCTTTATACTTTTTCATTTCTAAGATACAAGAATGAGAGAAATGATTAACGAATCCAATATTTCTCTCAAATGTGGTTTTTTGTGGGGTCCTAACTTTTAAGACAAGCCCTTAAAAAATAAAGCAAGAAAGAAAAGAGGACAAAATTCTTCCAAAAAATATGCCCAGACAATATTGTAGAGCCTCAAGCTGAAAGATGGAAGAGATCAGTTTCCATTACTAATATTCTTTAATATAAAAAAATGTGTCAAAATGCCTTCATTTTGAAAACTAAATATTCATCTTCTTTTAGTAAATTTGACAATGCCCACTTTGGAGTGGCCAAAAAGTGCTGTGCCAAGGCCTTGCATAATCCTGACTCCTGTTCCTACAACCTTATGGGTTTCTAAAATGAAAGTTAAAATAATGGAAATAGTTGAATTAACCTCTTAATTTTCATAACTTTGCACAATATTTTTTAAATTCTTCATGTACCAAATTGTGGCTACAGGTATTTTGCACTACAAAAGCCATCCCATAGTACACTCTACCTTCCCCCTGGTGATTAAAGTAAACACGAAAATGTTGAAAACAGCAATTCTTAGAAACTTGGATCCTACATATATCCTACATTTCTTTTTTAGAACATTCGTGGTATCTTCTTTTTTTCCTATTCTTTTTTTTTTCTATTTATTATAATTAAATCAGATTGCCACTACATTTTCTTTTTGAACTAAGTAACTGTTTGGGGGTAAGATATTCATTTTTTGATGAAAACTGCATTTAGTAAGTAATCATTAGAAACAGCCTAGTTCATGTAAAGCAATTTTGAGTCACTTTCCATTGAGCTGACTACTAATTCCTTTGTCAAGCTTAATAAATCTTTTAAAAATGAATTTCTACTGAGCAGAACTGTATGTAGAAGTAGCTTTTATGTCATTTCTAATTAAGAAAAACTTCACATTTTCCTGTTGATTATCAGAACATACCCAGTACAGATATTAAAGCTTGAGGAAATAAGGCATTTATTTTCCAGGGTTCAGAAATTATTTAAAAAAAAGTCTAGCTCAATGCCTCAAAATCCTGGGAATGATTTTAGTTTTAAAACTATATTTTATTTTAACCTGGGATATTTGGCTGAATGCTTCAGTTTTATTCACCCTCCCATTCATAATGTCCAAAATACATATTTAAGCAATAGGTATAAACCTACATAATTCTATTCTTAAAACCCACATAATTTGTTCAGGAAAAATATGAAAAAATATAAGAATTTAGGAGAAGGGTCCATGCATATGCAACAAATCAATATTGGACAGAGTTAGAAATTTCAAGAGAATTAACTTGAAATATTTCTTTTGATAAAATTAATCGATTCATTGTTAAAAATGAACAAAGTCATTGCAGACTTTTTTGCATTAAGGAAGACTCAGTCAGAGCAATGTTGACATTGCCACAAAAATTAAAAAAAAATTGAAACTGAACACATTACCAAGTATGACTAAGCTTCACATGAAAAAGGCTTTAAATACTGAGGCAGATGTCATAATTAATATTTTAGCAAAATATTATCAATTGGTCATTATTGGTGAATTTTTTTACTTTACTAACAAATAATTTATGCATTAATTTTTCTATAAAATATTTGATGTTCACATTAGTATGAGTAAGCTGGACTTCTGCCTCAATCCTTTGAAAGCTATCTTCTTTTGTTTTAAACTTTATTTCTAATAAGAAAATTGCTTTTTGCAAGTATGTTCTCTATGTCTGCATCTCTATTCTTGTCTTGCAAATAGGTTCATTAGTACCATTTTTCTAGATTCCATATATATATGTGTGTGTGCGTGTGTATGTGTGTGTGTGTGTTAATATACAATATTTAGTTCTCTCTTTATGAATGACTTCATTCTCCATTGACAGGCTCTTTGTTCCTTTTTACTGCTGAGTAATATTCCATTACATATGTGTACTACACTTCCTTATCCATTCATTTGTTGACGGACATCTAGGTTGCTTCCATGTCCTGGCTATTGTAAATAGTGCTACAGTGAACATTGTGGGAGATGGGAGGAGAGGATGGGGTGGATTGAGAAAGTAGCATTGACATACATATACTACCATGTGTAAAATAGATAACTAATGGGAAGCTGCTGCGTAACACAGGGAGCCCAGCTTGGCACTCTGTGATGACCTAGAGGAGTGGGATCAGGGTGGGGGTGAGAAGGAGAGCCTCAAGTGGGAGGGGATATATATACATACACATACACACACATGTATGTATATCATTACTGAATATTATTACTGATTCCCATTGTTATATGGCAGAAAACACCACAACATTGTAAAGCAATTATCCTCCAATTAAAAAAAAATAAATTGAACAAAATAAGAAGAAAATCACTTTTTTTGTTAGTGTTTTTAAATTAGCTACTTTTCAGTGCCTTATCTAAAAAAAGAAATGGGCAACTGTAAAGCTTAGTTTCTTCAAACATCTATAGAAAATTACTGAGTATGTGCAAAGGTGCTGTTTATACCTGGCTCAGTGTTTATAAGTACAGGTTTTATTCTTTTTAGCAATGACAACACTATTGAAAGTGGACATAGTATCATCAGGTGAGGATGACGGCCTCCCGCCAGAAGAGTGTATGTTATGTTTTTCCAGTTGAGGTTGTGAGTTTGCACATGTGCAGTTACACTCTTAGTTTTATTTCTCCTTATGACCATTGACACAAGTGGAAGAATTTTCTATGAACATGGGTCATGAAATATACAGCAGTGACCAAAAGTCAACCTAACCAGCCAACAAAGAGATCACACCTGTGACGGGTCTTATTCGCACCAAATTCAAAGTAAGTAAGTTAATCCTTCGCAAATTATTTGGGCCCAGACTATATTAGTTAGCCTGTTTTTAGTTTCTCAGAGCTTAGCTTTATATTTATAAGAATAAGCAATTAGTAAATGCTATCCTATCACAAAACTTTAAATGCAGTATTTTTTACTAAATATCTATATTTTTTGTTTTCCCCAAATATATATGTTGCAAGTTTGTTTGTTAATAGTCATAAATTTACTTTAAGTATTTAAATATAAATATTTTTATTGCTGGGGAATTCCTGGGCATCAAGTTATCAGAAAGTTTACTATTTATTTTATGAAAAATAGAAAAACCGTAGGGAAAAGTTGGGGCTTCCCAGGTAGCTCAGTGGTAAAAATAATTCACCTGTCAATGCAGGAAATGCAGGAGACAGTTTTGATCACTGGGTTGGGAAGGTTCCCTGGAGGAGAGGATAGCAACCCACTCCAGTATTCTTGCCTGGAAAATTCCATGGACAGAGGAGCCTAGTGGGGTACATTCCATAGGGTCAGGCTACAGTCCATAGGATGGCAAAGAGTTGGACATGACTGAGCATGCATGCAGGGTTAACTGACAATTTTTATGGGAAATCAACCAAACCATGCCCTCCCTGCTGTGTTGGACTTTTTCCCACTGAAAGTAACATATTTTCAGGACATGAGCTGACCCAGAGCAACCCTACAATGTTATATGGTAGATCATCACAAGGAGATCAATCTAGTCAATCCTGAAGGAAATCAGTCCTTCATTGGAAGGACTGGTGCAGAAACTGAAACCTCAATACTTTGGCCACATGATGCTAAGAACTGACTCATTGGAAAAGACACTGATGCTGGGAAAGATTGAAGGCAGGGAGAGCAGGAGATGACAGAGGATGAGATGATTGGATGGTATCACCGACTAGATGGACATGAGTTTGAGCAAGCTCCAGGAGTTGGTGATGGACAGGGAAGCCTGGCCTGCTGCAGTCTATGGGGTCACAAAGAGTTGGACATGACTGAGCGACTAAACTGATGAACTGAACTGAAATCATCATATTAAACAATGAGAAAAACTAATACAATTAGCAGGGCAGACAGTTTATCTTTGAGAAGAAAATTATTTTATATATATTTATGTATGTATGTGTTTATTTTCAGGAAAATAATTAAGAATTCATGAGATTAGAAATGAAAAGCCTAAAAAGAATAAGGTTCAAAAATTTTAATAAATCTACAGGAGTTCCTGGTACAAAGAGAGATCTAGAAATTTGTCAAGATTACAGAGCAAGAGATAGAGAAATTGTGTGAGGACTTTTAAATAGCAGGTCAGTATAATATTAAAATTTAAAGAAGTTGTTTTTTGGTGTTATAATGTGAGCTCCAATACCATGATCTTAAACTCTGGCAGAATGTTTTATAGACATCCTTTACTGAAATATATGTTTGTGGGAATATTCATGACAGTGATGAATTATAATGATGATATTTATGTTGGTATGTTATTACAATGAAATTAAGGTAGTAATACAGTAATATTTAACATTAGTAAGTGTTCACTAGATATCAGGCATTGTTTGGAATGCATTGATCATCAATTCTCATTTAGTCCTTGAGATGATATAATTGTTATACCTGTGTTACAGATGAAGAAACAAAGTATTAAAAAGATTGAAATACATCTATCTTTGTTTTATTTTTCCAAATGTCATGTTTTTAATTTGGAAAATTCACCATATTGTAATTCTTTTTTTTTTAATGAGATGTTCTTTATTTACAATATTGTTTTGATTTCAGGTAAACAGCAAAGTGATTCATTTATACATACACATATATCTACTTTTTTTCAGATGATTTTCTCTTATAAGTTATTACAAAATATTGAGTATAGTTCTCTGTGCTATACAGTAGGTCCTTTTTGGTTACCTATTTTAAACACAATACTGATTATCTGTTAATCCCAAACTCCTAATTTATCCTCCCTATCTTGTTATCCCCTTTGGTAACCTAAGTTTGTTTTATATGTCTGTGGGTCTAATTCTGTTTTGTATATGAGTTCATTTGTATTATTTTTTGTTTTTCAGATTCCACATAAAAGGGATATCATGTGATGTTTGTCTTTCTAGGTCTGACTTACTTTACATCTTTTCTATGAAAGTGAAAGTGTTAGTCGCTCAGTCGTGTCCGACTCTTTGCTACCCCATGGACTGTAGCCCACCCAGCTCCTCTGTCCATGAAATTTTTCAGGCTAGAATATGGACTGGGTTGCTATTCCCTTCTCCAGGGGATAGATACATGTGTGCTAAGTCACTTTAGTCTTATCTGACTCTACATGATCCAAGCAAGAATACTGGAGTGAGTTTCTATGCCTTCCTCCAGGGCATCTTCCCAAGCCAGGGATCGAACTCACATCTGTTGTGTCTCCTGCATTGGTAGAGAGGTTCTTTACCTCTAGCAACACCTGGGAAGCCCTTAAAAAAGCCACTGTTTTTTGAGCCAGAATCGAACCAGTGGCCTAAGGATTAACTTTTTTATTCCATTGTGTGGAATTTTCCAGGCAAGAATACTGGAGTGGGTCTTCATTTCTTTTCTTTTTTTTATTTTTTATTAGTTGGAGGCTAATTACTTTACAGTATTGTAGTGGTTTTTGTCAGCCATGGATATACATGTATTCCCCATCCCGTTTTCCCCTCCCACCTCCCTCTCCACCTAATCCCTCCGGGTCTTCCCAGTGCACCAGGTCCGAGCACTTGTCTCATGCATCCAACCTGGGCTGGTGATCTGTTTCACCCTAGATAATATACATGTTTCAATGCTGTTCTCTTGAAACATCCAACCCTCGCCTTCTCCCACAGAGTCCAAAAGTCTGTTCTAATGAGATGGATGAAACTGGAGCCCATTATACAGAGTGAAGTAAGCCAGAAAGATAAAGACCATTACAGTATACTAACACATATATATGGAATTTAGAAAGATGGTAATGATAACCCTATATGCAAAACAGAAAAAGAGACACAGATGTATAGAACAGACTTTTGGGTCTTCATTTCTTACTACAGAGAATCTTCCCAACCTAGGGATTGACTTTGCATATCTTGCGTCTCCTGCATTGGCAGGCAGATTCTTTACCACTGCGCCACCTGGGAAGCCTACAAAATCACCACAAATCTTCAAAAGACAAGGTCTTGGGCCCTCTATGGAAAAACAAAGTTTATTCCCCATTGATTTAGGTACTAAAGGCAACTGAGATTCTGCAAATGAAAGGCTCCATCCAGAACACTGAATCTCCTGCAAGCATTGTAAAGATGCAGGAATTCTCAAGATCCCTCCATAGTTACACTTCACAGGGCCATCTACTAACTGGCAACTCTGATAAGTCACTTTATTTCCTGTCTTGACTCCTGGATCTCAAGTTATCTAGAAATACATCAATTTGTAAATTGATAGCCACATAATAAATTCATTTTCTGCTTTGGTTATTTGATTAAATATGGCTTTGGTAGGAAAAAGAAAAGCTATAAAAGAGTGTAGGGAAGAGTAATCATGCAGAAATAGAAAACTGGAGGTGACTTTGAACAATGAGGATTTGAGATCTCACAGATATTTCCCAAGGTCCAGGGATGATGTGCCAGCTGATGAGGCACAGCTCTGGCGTGGCTCCCATGGTGGTTTGAGGCTGCAACCACAATGGTGGGCTGCAGGTCACTGTGACATTCCAGTGTCATGATGCTTGTGGGAATTCTTTACTATCACTGCTGAGCAGACTATGAGTTCCTTGGAAGGTGGGAAAGAACTCACTCAGCACAGTGTCTCTAACTGATATGTAGATTACCTGCATGATATCAGAGACAGAACTCATTCTAATCAAAGCACTCCTCTGAGAAGAACTATATTCAATAGTGTTAATGACAAAGGTTCTTGATATCCTTAATTCAATAGGAATTGATTAGAAGCCAGACAAGAAATGCAGGTATGGCTTTATTGGGGTCCCTACTGCCAGAGCAAGTAACAGGTGTCCTTGCTTGCTTGCCAGGGAGGTGCAAGCTTGTTTCCTGCATGGACTGAGAGCAGGGATGTGTCCAGAGGTTGGCTGGAGAGGTGGCTTAAGTGATTTGCCCACCCCGTAGGTGGTGTTAAGCTCAGGGGGCAAGCTCAGGACCCTGCTTTTGCTTCCAACACCCAGTTTTTGTTCCAGGCTCTTCAGAATTGATAGTTGGGTTTCTGGTTTCTTTGCATCTTTTGTCCATAATTTACCCCAACTACACATGCATGCACTTGTTTTTAGCCGGTTACAGTTTCGTTGCTTCAGGAGATGTTTGTCCAGGTACAAACATTGCAGCAAAGGACCCCAGGCCTCAGGTCCCAGCCTGTCTCTGTGGCACTTATATGAAATGTAAATAATACAACAGTACAGATTGGTGGTGCTAGAGGTAAAGAACCTGCCTACCAATGCAGAAGACATAAGAGACATGGGTTTGATCCCTGGGTTAGGAAGATCCCTTGGAGAAGGAAATGGCAACCCACTCCAGTATTTTTGCCAGGAGAATCCCATGGAAGAAGAGACTGGTGGGCTACAGTCCACGGGGTCACAAAGAATTGGACATGACTGAAGCAACTTAGCACGCACACAGATGAACATGGTCCTATGTGACTGACTGTTCATTATCACAATTCATATCTCCACATCTTCAATTATGAGTGCGTATTTTTAGATTTACCCAACCTTCTCTTAAGAGCTCTGTACCTTGTTCCATTATTGTCTGTGTATTTGATTTGAGTCAGATGGGAGGGGCAGGAAGCATTTAACTATCTTTGGATAGCAACAACGAAACTGCCCTAATGTGAAGCTGAAGATTCTTTGGGTTACTCTCCATCATGAGCAGCGTGCTCCAGGCGGGACCTGAACCTACACTTGGGGTTACCTGCCCTTCCTTCCCTCAGCTCCTAGTCCCCAAGTCCCTTGAGACACTGTTCTCCTGGTACAACTGTTTGATTGACAACTACAGAAAACAGTACGATTTTGTGGTGGTTTGTCTGCAAACACTGTGTTCTTACAATCTCAAACAGTTCTACAAAATGGAGGCATTTTGTTTCATTTAGAGTTGCTTTGTATGCAGAGGTCTTTTAATACCCTTTTCACAATTTGCCTCCTTCCTCAAGGAGAATTTTGAGGTCATTTTATGGTAGCAAAACACTTTTTTGTTTTGAACTGAATGTTTATTCTCTGATGATATTTCCTGGCTCCCAAAGCCTAAAGAAAATCACAGGGAATAAAATAGAGCTCTCTTTCTTTGATGTCTATCCAAGAGCATGGAAAAACTATCACTTCTTTCACCTAAAATTCCCTTAATTTGGTCCCTTGACTGCTAAGAGATGACAATTAAAGTATTCAGGCCCTAAAATGGAATCAAAAGGTATAATAAAGGACCACAAGAAGCATTCTGAGACATACTCTTTAAGATTTCACCATGGTTACAAATCTAAGATTAAGTTTGTGTCTCAAAAAATAGTATGATCAAGAACAGATATAATTTTTTGATACCGAAGGCCAAAAAACTTTAGCCTGTTATTTTAAGTTTTCTAGATGCTTGCTGATTATAGTTTTAATTCTATGTTATAAAATTAGGTATGCTAAAATTTTGAACTTGCTTCAGTTCAAACTTCCATTTCTTTTATAGAACAAAACATTCTTAATTTTCCCATTTTGAATGTTTAATTTAAATAATAATCAAAATGATACAATAGTAGTGTATGATCATGTAGGTGAAGAGAGATTATATAACTTGAAATACCAGAGGTGTTGTGTGAATAAGAACTCTACCTCCATACATACCATTCTTCCCCTTTCTCTTGCAACAAGCAATTTGCTTATGGATAAAAATATTTTCAGGTGATTATGTATAGTAATCTGTTAATCTCTTTTTGGTCATCAGAGTATTTAAGTACATTTCCTTTGAAACACTATAGAGAAATTATATTAAATTTTCAAATTATACAGAAGTTTATTAATCTGTTGCATAGAATTATAAAACATATGTTCTCTGGTGGAGAAGGTAATGGCAACCCACTCCAGTACTCTTGCCTGGAAAATCTCATGGACCGAGGAGCCTGGTAGGCTGCAGTCCATGGGGTCGCTAAGAGTCGGACACGACTGAGCGACTTCACTTTCACTTTTCACTTTCATGCATTGGAGAAGGAAATGGCAACCCACTCCAGGAGAATGGAGAATCCCAGGGATGGCAGAGCCTTGTGGGCTGCCATCTATGCAGTTGCCTGGAGAATCCCAGGGACGGTGGACCCTGGTGGGCTGCCATCCATGGGGTCACAC